GTCGCTGCGGGTTTTTTTTTTCTTACTTGCCTCGCCGAGCGTCGCGTCACTGCTGCGCCGGTGGGCGGAGCTCCAGGTGGGGTCCTAATTTAGGTGGCCGGAGACTGCCAGATGACCCCGCTTGGAGCTCCGCCCACCGGAGCAGCAGTGTCGGGACGTTCGGCGAGGTAAGAAAAAAAAGAAAAAGAAACAGTGCAAGAATTTACCACACACACCTATTACCCCTGGATCACAATGAGGGCAACTGAAAAGGCTGCAAAATAATTACATACACTGATAAATACAGTTATCATTTAAATTAATCTACCATTTTAGTTGGTCAAAGATATTATTTTTACCCGTTCTCCTATACCAGACCTCTGGATCAGTCCCCTTAGTTATCTAGTGATCTCAATTAAGGCACCAGAAGATAAGACATAACACAAACATATAGTTGTAAAACACTGAGACTTACCTTGAAATTCACTATTCACCATTCAAAAAGAATACGGTAGGTCTCAATCACATGTAACTGTAAATCTTTAACAAAACAGTCTTGAAAAGCCCGGCAACCAAAGCATTATGTATTATGGATATGGAGGTGACATGATAAGTTTCAGTTTTAAGTTTGAAATATGTTTTGTGAATGTTATCTTATGTCAACATTTGTGCAATTTTTATTTAATCTCAGGCTTAAAGCTTATATACAAATTACAAATGATATATCCCGTGCATACATGTATATTGATGACATACTGAAAATACTTTAATGTATAACTAAGGAATTTAGCAATAAGTTAAATTTCTGTAACATTTACAATTGTGTGTGTATCTGCTATTAATAAAGAATTAATGTAATCAGATATTTGTAATATTTTTATTGGTGTAATACTCTTACACTTCAGTTAGCAATGAGCCTCACCTTACGGGCTAGTAGTCTGAAATTCTACAAAATGAATTAATAGACAGGACAATATCCATTATGCTAATCAAGTACATATATTCTCACCTACTGAATACACAAATATAAATAATATACATAATCTTTGTATCAATATGCATTTTACATTTACATTCTTGAGTTACTTTAGAGATCAGTTTAATAAGCCATTGCTAAAAGTAGAGTATATTAACCTAGCCCAGTTAGATTATACTTTACTGGACTCTAAGCAGTAAAAAATCAATTGTAATTGGTCATTAATGCTGTTGGTATAAGTTTTTCTGCTACTCAGTTCATTTGTGATATCCAGCCACATGACAGTATTATGCAGAATAACAATACACTATATGAGCTCATAGCTCTTTTTATTGTTTATGTTCCTGTTACCATCTGTGCATCCAGATTAATACAGCTCTCTATCCGTTCTGCATATATCTGTTCTGAATGTATAAGTCAAGAAAAAACACTTTACAACCATATATATTTTTAAAAAGCTGTGTTTATCATAAAACAAGCCATCTTTGTGCTTTAGGCAAGGGATTTTACCCAGTCTGAGATGATGTTATCAGACTTCTGTGGGCAAGAAGAAGCATTTCTTTGAGTCTCTTCTCCTTCAGTGTGATATATTGCACTCTCAGCCTCATACTGCAAAGAGATTTTCAAGCTCATTGGGCAAAAATCTAAGGGGTCTATTCACTAAGCTGCCAAAGGATCTAGCCGTAGCTTCGGCTGATCCTTCGACTAGCTTCGGTCCCAGGACCCCTTCGGTACAGTAGAACCGAAGGGCTGCTGTACAGGCAATTTGCTATGGCCCGTACAGCTGCCGAAGTTGGCCGAGCGGCTGGGTAGAGGCGAAGGCATATGCCTCGGCTCGACTAAGCCGAGGTGAAAGCCAAAGCTGGCCGAACGGCCGGCCATTTGCCGGCCGACAGCCTGCTTCTAACAGCTGGGCGGAGCCAGCCGTTATCTCACGGCTGGCTCCGGCCCCTTGCAGAGAGATCAGCGTCCCTGGTTACCAGGTAACCAGGGACGCCATATGTCATTACACACTGAGAACCTGGCGGGGCCACTATGATATCACAACGGCCTCTCAGGGTCGAGCAGAGTAATCCTTTCGTTGCGTTCTGTTTTGTTTTTTTCTGACATGGGGCCGCAGGCCGCCCTCAGTCAGAAAAAAAAAGCCAGAATAGGAATGCATAGCTAGATTCCTATTGGCTATTTCACTTTGCAATACAGCAAACTAGCTATTGCACCCGCCCACTGCTGCTAGACGGGCCTGCTTCTAACAGCTGGGCGGACCCAGCCGTTATCTCACGGCTGGCTCCGGCCCCTTGCAGAGAGATCAGCGTCCCTGGTTACCAGGTAACCAGGGACGCCATATGTCATTACACACTGAGAACCTGGCGGGGCCACTATGATATCACAACGGCCTCTCAGGGTCGAGCAGAGTAATCCTTTCGTTGCGTTCTGTTTTGTTTTTTTCTGACATGGGGCCGCAGGCCGCCCTCAGTCAGAAAAAAAAAGCCAGAATAGGAATGCATAGCTAGATTCCTATTGGCTATTTCACTTTGCAATACAGCAAACTAGCTATTGCACCCGCCCACTGCTGCTGTCAATCAGCAGAGGGGGACCTGCAGGCAGCAGAACAGCCCGGCCAATAGAAAACAGTTGGGCGGAGCTAGATGTCACTGCTAGCTCCGCCCAAACGGTTTCTATTTTATTTTTTCTACTTTTTAAACTGTTTTTCTATTCTGCTCGGTACCACAGAGGCAGAATAGCCGAACCGAATGCGGGTTCCCCATCAAAGTCATACCAGGCCCTTAAGGTCTGGTAGGAATTTTAAGGAGGAACCCCACCCCCAAAAATGGGGGGGGGACATGGGGTCCCCCCTAAAATTCCCAACCAGACCCTTGATCTGAGCACAGGCCTGGCAGGGCAGGAAAGGGGGGGGGGGCGATTGAGTGGCTCCCCCTCCCTGTGATACCAGGCCACATGCCCTCGGCACTAGGATGGTGCTTTTCTTCTGGAAAAGCACCTTATCCCCATGCAGATGGGGACAAGGGCTTCTTCCCCACAAGCCTTGGCGCGTTGGTTGTGGCGGTGCACAGGGGGGCTTATTCACATCAGGATACGCCTTTAATAAAGGATCCACCGACATAATCCAATGGTCAACCACTATGTCCAGCGTTGTCCACGGTGGTAACGAGTCGACGAAATAAAAATTAAAACAAGAAAAAATAAATAGAAATAATCAAGAAAAAAACAATGATCGCCATCCCGTACGCTCGTGATGAACTCCGGCTGCATAATATAATGTTGAAAGATTAACAGGGTCAATTAGGTTAAATATTAATTCTGCAACCTCCCCCCCCCCATTGCATTCCAGAGGGAAATTCAGTACAGATAAAAACATTTCTTTCAGGATAGAGTAAGCAATACGTAAGAAGCATTGTTAAATTTTTGTTTAGTTATGCTATGTAAAAGAGACACATATAACAAGCATAAAATACCATATTTTTCGCTCCATAAGACGCACTTTTTCCCCCCCAAAAGAAGGGGGGAAATGTGTCTGCGTCTTATGGAGCGAATCCCGACGCCCGAGACATGCAGTTTCGGGCGCCGGGCGAGTAGTAGGAGGGAGCTACTGCTCGTTTAATACAAGTGATCTAATGAGATCACTCATATTAAAGCCGAGCAGCGGTGGCGACGATCGAGTTCAGCAGTAGGAGCTACTGCTCGTTTAATACGTGTGATCTAATGATCTCACTCGTATTAAAACCGAGCAGTGGCGATGATCGAGATCACCATAGAGCAGATGAAGAACGGACGTTCTTCGTCTGCTCTGTGTGATCACTGAGACCGTGGCGCTGTAATCACAGCGCTACCTGTCTCAGCGGTCACTAACTGCAGCTTGTGTCACAGCTTCTGTCATAGAAGCTGTGACAGAAGCTACAGTCTGTCGAGTGCTCCATAAGGCGCGCCGGACCTCCCTGCGTCCTATGGTACGGTGCGTCTTATGGACCGCAAAATACGGTAGGTGTTATCCCAAGAAGTGGAAAGTGGAAGTGGAAATACACTTTAAAGTGTATCTATACCCAAGCACAAACATTTGTTTTGTATATTGTAGCTTACCAGTCCTTACATATAGGTGTATTATTTTTTTTTAGGCTTTTTCTCCTTTTTTTCCCTGGTGATTCCGCCTGTCCTAGGATGACAATGCTTACTTACTGGAACAGTATTGTTGTCACCCTATGGTTACAGATTATATCTATTTCCTCATCACCATAACATAGGGAGAGGTTTTCTGTAGTCCATGTAGACAACTTGGAACAATGCCAGCTAATAAAAGTGCTGCAGAAGAAGAGGGCACAGAAAGTTTTCAGCCCTATAGAATTCTGTTGTTTTTTTTTGCACTTATCGAACATGCATAACAATATGCTTTCAATAGTGAGTCAATGGGTATACATTTACTGTAGGTTGATTTTGTTTCATACATACTTCAGTCACTCATAAGTAGTGGCTTAAAGTGATTAGTGTAGCAACATTTTTTATCTGTGCAGTACTGTATGTACTGTATTATGAATGAGTATAATCTAAATTTGCTTACATAGATTCACAGTTTGCTGACTTGCTGAAAATACCCAGGAGATAAAGTAATAACAATAGCCTAATTACTCTTTTTTATTTTCTGCAAAATTAGACACGGCTTCAACTCTTATGATGCGAATTCACAATAATAATGAAGAGCTTCAAATGATGACATTAGAAAATGAATATTCATAACTAAATCCTCCAGCAATTAGTATATAAGACATAGCTGCAAGGGGGAACAAGGACCCAAGCTGCTCTACTGCAGGTCAGTGTGTTGGTTCACCTATACAGAAAAACAATCAGGTATGTAGAGATTTTTGTGCTTTTGCTGTAAAAAATTATATTGTTGTACAGAAAATGCAGTAACATTGTTTATATATTTGAATTCTGCTTTATTCCACTGTTTTCTAATAGCAGCTTGGACATGAAGGCTGAAGTGGGAGGCTGTCAGTGCAGGAAACAGAGTCTAATAGAAGATGCTCACAAGGAGAAAGAAGTCTTACCTGTACCTGATTGTCCAGAAATAAATAACAGAGACCTGGTTGAAGACAATAGCACCACCTTAAATCTGATGTTTACAGCCACAAGCCCTAGCACTACTTCCCTTAATAGCATTCTAAAGATCTTAGAGGTAAAGTAACCACAATTTCACATCTTTCATTTGTTCATTACCTGTGTTTGTGAAGACGCTAGGCAGGAGATTAGGTGATCCATCTAGAGATTTTCTGATTTGGACTGGATCAAATTTTGTCCGTGATTCATAGGTGTTGGTTTAACTTAGGTTGGTGAAATTCACTTTCCAAAGAATACCCAATTGAGTGGTAGGTACATTTAAAAAAAACAAAATGTTTTTTTGCTTGTATATAATTGGGTGATGGAAGTCAATGGAACTTTACCCCATTCACTAAACTAAGGGGAAACATGCCCTGCAAAGTGCTTGGCATTCGGTTAATTTGAGTTAATTTCACCTTATTTTAACGTTCTGCGGTTATTCTCAAGATTGCCCGTAAATTGAAATAGTTTTGAGTATATACCTTGTAAGCTACCAAACATAATCATCACAATAATATTTCAGTTTTAGAGAGAAATACTATGTGTGAATGTTCGCTCTGTGCAATTGGATGCATGAAATGAACATCCTTGTTATATTTTCTATATAAGTCAAATGTATTTTCGAATGCCATCTTGTAATAGCACATTAAGGCTACTATATGGACCTGAGAAGCATAGGAAATAAGTAAATATTTATATTTTAAGAAAACAAACCATTCATTTTGTGCATCTATTCCACAGAATGAGCATTTACAGAGATATTGTTTATAAATAGATCCCTATATGTAATGCATTAGTTGATATTTAAAATATGTAACCTTTTTTACTACAAATAATTTTAATTAGCAAATATTATACATGGTTTTTGAGATACTATACTGAATCAGATAATAATACCTCTTTATGATAATAATACTTAATGATCATAATACTTCTTTATCTGACTGCTTCATAATGACAGTGTAAGGAGAAAGCACTATATGCAACATTTAGTACCCATATAATTAAATCTTTACTAGGGTGACTTCTATAAAATGAGTTCTAATTGGTTGCTCTTGTTTGCTGCACTTTGCACTGCTTTCCTAAATTATGATCCTCGTCATTTACCAGAATATTTATATTTCAGATAAGCTATGAGTCGTTTAAAAATGTCCGTTTTAAATCAGTGTCGAAAATTCACGTGTGCTTCAAATCTAATGACATTAATTTACATAGTTACATAGTATTTGAGGTTGAATAAAGACATTAGTCCATCAAGTCCAACCTATTAGGATCTCATTCTAGGAGTACCCGTACCCCTGTATATTACGGTCCCTTAAGAAATCGTCCAAAAGTTTCTTGAACAATTCCACATTATTAATCCTTTATTATGCCCTCTAGCATTTTACAAACTACCGATGTTAGACTGACCGGCCTATAGTTCCCAGGTTGGCACCTTGCCCCCTTTTTGAATATTGGGACTACCGTAGCCCTCCGCCAATCACTGGGGATCCTACCAGTCATTAAGGAGTCCTATATATGAAAACCTATAAATGAAAATCTTATACCCCTCTCCTCTTCCTCAGCATACCTGTCTGTTTAAAATGAAAGCAAGTTATTCTAGATGATGAAAGTCATGTCTCATTAACTAGGGATGCACTGAAATGCTCGTGATCATGACAGCTTCTCTCCTCCCCACTGGGCGCTAGTCTGTGTCCCCTCCGATCCCCTATGCCTCTGCCGACATAGGTGGGGGAGAGCAGCAGGGATCGGAGGGGACACAGACCAGCGCCCAGTGGGAAGGAGAGAAGCTAGGGATGCACCGAATTTTGGGCAGAATTTTCAGCCATTTGGGTACTATCTGCATTTGCCCATAGTAACATTATCGGCCGAAATGTTTTGGCGGACGAAATTTCGGTGCATCCCTATCATTAACTTATTAATTTTGAATATTGTCAAATAATAACACCATCCTTCCAGATTATTTCTATTTTGCATTCATTCTCTAATTGAAGTCAGGTATTTAATCTTAGAAAGAATACATCTGAGTAATTTTGATTTTAAAGGTGAGAGATATCGGCAGTGAACCTTTCACACCACACCACACTTCTGCATTATAATTATAGTTTGGTACAAATTTGCTGCAGCCCTGGTTACTTTGTGTTCCCTCATTAACCTTTTTCCTTCTACAGCACCAGAGTTTATGTTGTTTTCTGTTTACATTTTCCAGGCACTCATTGATTCACTTGTTCATTCATTTTCAGAAATACGAGGCAAATGTTTTTCACATGGAGACCAGGCCTGCTCTAAAATACAACAAGAAAGAAGATCTAGAATGTTATTTGAAATGCTTCATTCCCAACTCTTTCGTCAACATCCTCATATATTCCCTAAAAAAGGTGGCAGGAGATGTGAAAATAGTAAAAGATGACTTGCGTAAGGGGATATTAAATTACATTTATAGTTTGTGACCTTTTTTCCTGATGATTTCATCCATTACAGATCTGTTGAAGAAGAAGTACTTTATAAGGAATTAACCTACCGGTAGATGCTTTCAATTAAATAGCCAATCTTGGATAATTTTTTCAGCACCTTTTTGAAAAGCTCAGCATATTTTGCTACTATACTGGCAAATTGTGTTAATGTTCACGACTTAAGTAAACAGCTACAAGAGATATTATATATAACGTAGGATTTTACCTTGCACATTATCAGATAAGTGTATAACTAAATGAAGATTCTGCCTGGTCTGATGCTTTGCTATTCTATTTAAAGTAAATTAAATATGCATTTACATTATTTACTAAGCCAGCATTTCTTTTTTTCAGTCATGGCAACTTTAAAACTATGCAAAATGTTGAGGCACCCCAGTCTAAAACGTAAAAAAATGATATGTGGCCCTTTCAAAATCCATAGAAGACACATATCTCCTTTCACATCAGAGTGTCCTCTCTCACACTAGGAGCCCCTTTCATTAGAGCCCACTACTTTCACATCAGAAGCCTACCTGCACCATGGAAAGGCTTGATGCTGAGGCACCCCTGAGGAATCCAGAAGGCGCCCCAGGGTGCCACAGAACACTGGTTGAGAAAGGCTGTACTAAGCTTTTCTAAGTAAATATTTACTTTAGTAAGTGAACATTCTGTCCTGGGTTGGTATGCAATAGTAACTGACTGCCTACTGTGCAGCATCCAGCAGTGCTTGCATGGTGTGGCACTTCCTTCTTTCTCAATGGAAAAGGAAGGATCAGCCCCAGCAGAGAGAGATTTTCAAACAATTTCTGTGTGGGTGAGTACTGTTATACTGTTGTCATGATAAGCCCTGAATGGGCTGATTCGTACATTTGCAATATTGGCCTTTTATTTCAGGGAGTCATCTCCCAATTCATATGTCCCCATAACCAACCTTTATGTTAAAATGTTAAATTACATTGTTGTTAATGTACAAGTGTTACATATTGCTTATTAATGCAGTATTCTTAAAGCAAAAGCCAAATAATTAATGATGCTTATATTATTTTTGTATATTTCATTCAGCGCCTTCTTTTCCCAAAAAAGTTCAAGACCTGGATATGTACCGGCAGCATTTAATTATGAAATTCGAGCCAAATTTTGACCAAAACCATCCAGTAAGTATTATACAGAATTTGAAATCCAGTCTATAATATCTGACAGAACCTGAAATACTTGATACAAAAAAACACATTAATTAAATTCATTTTAGAATTTAGCTGAATTAAACACGTGCAAAATCTCTACTTAAATCCTAATATGAGGTTTTCAAGGGCCTGAATACAAATATACCTAGCTTTACATCTGCAGTCGAGCCCCTAGGGGATGTACCCCTCCTCATTTGACCTGTCTGATATGTCACTTTGCCTAGTCAATACTGTTGTATTTAACAGGTCTTGTCTACCTACCTTCACCCTTGTCAAATGTCAAATGTATTTTTTTGTTTACAACATTCAAACCCAATAAAAAAATTATTACTTAAAAAAAAAATCTCTACTTAAAGCGTGACGTCAAAACTTTTCTTTTAATTTGAGTGGAGAAGGGATAGAACCTCTGTCAGATTCCTGTGAACTATTTGTGTTCCTACTAAAAGGGATCTCCCCTATAGTGGGGACAAAAACTACAACAAAACTTTTAGTGACATTAAGAATGTTTAGAACCCCTCTCAGGCTATAATTACTGTCCATGTCTTCCAGTCTCAGCGACTGCCACATCCCTGATTTCTTTCCCTGCTGTCACATGGAAAGGAAGTGAGGTAAAATCTGTTCAACAGAGTCACAGACAGCAATAAAAACGTGATGGTATTTCCCAACTCTATGCAAAATTAAAAGTGTGGCTTTCATGGGGCTTTAACTAACTGAAAAGAGATCAAATATTTTTTTTTTACCTTTAGAAACTAGAAAATGTTATTTGAAGGAGAAGGTTTATCCTATATTGGTTCATTCTGTGGTATCACAATTACTTATAGCTTCCACTTCGACAGATGTTCGAACACTGGAGACAAACTATAAATTACTATCGAGGTGGTATAATGTTCCAAAAAAACTACAGGCGATACACCCCATGAATGACCCACATTGTTGGCGGGCATGCTGAGCTATATGAACTGTGGAGGGCGAGGGGACGGGCATGCGTGCGGGGGGCGTGTCTGGTATGGGGGCGGGAGGGAGCTGCGTCTCCGCTCTGATCATTACAAGGAGACTAGTTACATGTGCAACTACTCCGAAGGTAAGACCTAGCGCTATCTTCAGGGATGTCTGTAATATAAGACCTACCCCGAACTAGGTCTTATTTTCGGGGTAGGTCTTATATTACAGAAATCCCTGAAGATAGCACTAGGTCTTATTTTCGGGGTAGGTCTTACTTTCGGGGAAACACGGTATCTACTACTCATACATATGTTACTAAAATTTAAGAGAGAGTAAGGATTGCAAGCAATATAAGGGTATAAAGGAAAGAGAAGGTGGAAGGTGAAACTACAGTAAAAATATTTACAATTATCAGAGCCAGAGTGTATGTGAGTGTGTTTGAATGAGGAGAGGGGAGAGAGGAGAGGAGGGGGGGAAGCAGGAGGAGGGGTTGGGTAAGTTAAGGATAAGATAATGGGATAGACCTCCTTTTTAAGGGAAGTAACTATATAAGGTACTCTGGGGGCATTGCCGAGGCAGGATGAAGAACCTGGCCGGTCATTAAAGGGGAGGGTTAGGGGGACAGGGAGGGGGAAAAACTGTAGATAGGATAACAGTAAGAAGATAGGAGATTCACTAGTTAGGTAACATGAACACATAAGTTGGAGAATAAATAAATTAAAATAAAACGAAATGTTCACAAAGAATCCCCATAGAGATGCTTGGGTTTAGATTTAAAAGGAGGGGGGCCGCATGCACAAAGTAAAGGAAGTTAAGCCTTAGTGATGACAAGGAATTTAAATGTAAAAAAGAATTCACTTACTTTAAAAATAAATAAATAAATAATTAATAGGTAATAAGTACAAGGAATCCAGTGGAAGATCACTTGTAGAGAACATAAAAGTGGGAGGGGGAACACGAATGGCACATGCATGTATAAAAAGGGAAGGGTGGAGATGCCCCTTGGTTTAAATGTCACAACTAGAGGAAAGAGGTACCCCCAAAAGATGGCAGTATAGGCAAGTAGTGCTCCCAAAGGGATCTGATAGTTACAGTATGAATGACAATCAGAGGTCAGAGGATAGAGGTAAAATAATAGTATTGGGTTATTGTTTGCCTTTGTTTGATTCCTCTTTGTTGCCTTTTTTTTTCCTCTCTCTTTTTTGAAAGATATATATGTATATATGACTGAAGGAAGAATAGAATCTGATGTGAATAATATTGTTGATATGTAAAAATTGAATAAAGAATTAATAAATATAAAAAAACAATTACTTGTAGCTGTTGTTTTAGCATTACATTACAAATCCCAACATGTCTCTGCGAGCCATGCTTGTAACTGTCAGTCTTGCAATGCCTCATGGAACTTATAGTTCCACAACAGCTGGAGGGCCCACCCCTGGTCTAAAAGTATCTTGTAACATGACAACAGTTTTTACAGTCACCACTAACCTAACATGTCTCGACTGTGACACTGTTATGGTTCATACACCTCTCTTCAAAAATGCAGTTTATTATGCTATACTCTTGTAACATGACAGACACACTCCTGCAACAATATGCAAAGTGTGGCACAAATATAAAGAAATTATAACTCTATCAAATATTAATCTGAATATATATTCTGATCTGATTTTGCACATACATATACACTCAGACACGAGAAACAGTGTCTGTATCTGGTACAATGCATCCCTATTTACTGTATGAATATCATAAGCAGCTAGAAATGTGAACAAATATCCACCAAATTTTGGATGTGTCTGACGACCTGTCAGGCTGATGTCAGATGAACGATTTATTTGCAGTGATACCCTTTATAGCAATTTCACATTATTTTCTATTGAATCGCTAACTAATTTTAGAGCAATTTGTAGCTCAGTCTGACTGTCTATAGTGATTGGGTTTGAGCAGAGTTTCATGTCAGTGACAAGTTCACCAGTGATAATCTTGGCTTACCTATAATTGACTGCAGGAGAGCACTCTGTAGCAGAGCAAGCCAACCCAATGCTGTAGTTTACTTTGTAACAGTGGCCAATCGATTTTTACCAACAAATCGCCAGCAATTATTCTTTGATAAAAAATTGCCCATCCCATATGGTCCTTAGAGCTGTACTCCAGGCAGACTTAAAAAAAACACACACACGCATGCCTGCGCTATAAATCCAGAACTGAGTGATCACATACCGCTGTCTGCTTAGTTCACGCTCTTCTCCATGCAGAGAGTAGTGACTGTCAGTCATCACCCCTGCAGGGATTCCCCTCTCCATTCCTCCAGTGCTTATTGGAGGGACAGTAAGGGGAGGGGGCGGGCACAGCTGGCTTTGGTTCTAGAGAAGCAGAGCCAGTTGGGTGGATCCCAAATAATATTGGGATCCAGGCAGTTGGGTGGATCCCAAATAATATTGTTGGGATCTTTCCCGCCTGCAGCGTGGCTCTGCACTGTCAGCAAATAGCGGGCAGTAGCCCGCCATATGCTGTCTTTGAGTCACAGAAGGACATTAGTAGATGTACTCCTTTGACCCAAGAGAATTAAAGTGCAAAAAGTTTGGCTTGAGTTCAAGTTTGGCTTGAAGTCGCTCAGATTTATTTAGCTACTTGTATATATCAGGTTGTTGCCCAGAAATCCTACAGGTCAACTATGTTACAGAAATCTTCGGGGACTAGGTGGTGCTAAATTATAAAAGCAGCACACACTTATGCCTCTGAGAAGCCAGATAAATGAGTACAGGTATAATACTAATACCGTTGTCATGAAAATTGGTTTTCCATCACAGGACATATAAGGTTTACTTAGCACTTTCAATGAACTAGTGAACTACAATGAACAGAGCAAAAGGCCAAAAACTATTTTCAGTTTTACTAAAACAGCATAGAATATTTTCTTTCCACTGTTGTGCTTGAAAGTCACCATAGATGCCAAAGTGATTTTTATCCAAGCTGCTGAACATTTAACAGACCCTGTTATACATACGCTTAAAACTAATAGGACATTTAGCTCCTCGCAAGCAGAATTGTAGGGAAGCCACATTACAAAGACCTTTGGCTCACATAATTACTATGTGAATCAAGTATTATATAATTTTCCCAGACAGATCATTTACATAGAAATTAGGATGCTTTACATCCACTGCTGTCAGATCTAAGACCAAGAAAATGTCATCCATTGAGGCATGGAGAGGTTATTTCCCTGAGTGGGTATGTGCTGAGTAACTAACACCATATGGCAGGAAACAGTACTCGTTCTCATGGCTGCACGCACTGCTCAGTCCAGCTGGGAGATATGTATTTTGTATGCTCTTTTGCTATAAGATCAACAACAATGATCAGATTTCATGTCTTGAAGAGTTTTTACCCAAATTAATTATTACATGTCATTTTCAATTGACATCTCCAAATATTCTCAAATATATTATCTTTCCGATAGCAGAGTTGAATGAAAGGGCTGGTATATAAGTCAAAAGGAATTTCCTGAAAATGAAATCTTTTCTTACTGATTAACCAAACTTTAAAATTTGGTAAAGATTAACCTGTAATTTTTCAACTTAGTTTTAAAAAGAAATATTGAGACGTGTGTACACCTTATATGTATTGTCGGCAGATTTTGTCCTTTATAATTTAGGTATTATTTATTATTGTTTTGCTTCCTACTTTTTACTGTGGGGGAGGCAAGAGTACCAATCACCAAGCCACCATGATGCTGCTCTGATAAAATGTAAAACCGGATGTGGTACATGCTTCCTAAACCTGGGATAAACCTTATGTCATTAGTCATTTATTTTCCTGACATTGAATACTATAGCAATGTTGTGTTTTTATGTTGTTGTGCTATATTAGCCATAGCCAGACTTTGTTATACATTTTAGTTAAGAGCACTATAACATATTTGCATTTATATTCACAGGGTTATGGTGACCAAGAGTATAAAAAGAGAAGAACATACTTTGCAGAGCTGGCTTTCACATACAGAGAGTGAGTTGTAAAATATGATATGATACATATCTACAGTCTAGATATTTAAGTCAGTGGAAAAAAAATTCCTGAAGCAAATTTGCATCGTGAGAAGTCTCTAACAGAAACAGTCATTCAGAAACTTCAAGTGACATGACTGTCACTGAACAGGTATCACACTGGATAGAGTCCTGTACTGAGAAAAATAAAAAGGCTGTCATTGCTGATCCATGACTTTAAAAATTATAGTTTTGTAAAATTGTTTTCAATTGTTCAAATTCAATTGTGCAAAAGCCATTACCTATTTATTAGTTATTCTGTTGTTTGTGTTCCCATTAACTAATACTGGTATATATCATTTAACCTGCAAGGTAACCGGAGTAATACGTTGTTTTCCATTTCTTTAGTGGAGATGCTTTGCCAAGGGTTGAGTACACAGCAGAAGAAACTGCCACTTGGTAAGATAGATGTACATGTATGTTGTCTCCAGTACTGTACAGACATACCCACCACATCATTGTTTCCTGCCTTGCACAGTACTATATATAAATATATTTGGCAATATATATATATAGATCTATATATACTGTATTTGCTGGCGTATAAGACTACTTTTTATACTTAAAAACATCCCCTGAAAATAGCGGGTCGTCTTATACGTGGGGTATACAATGTATACCTTTAGTTTGTTTGGGCCAAGCTGGCCCAAAACGAACATCCCTAATCTATCAGCCCGCTGGATGTGCGGTAATACTGTATGTACGGTAGCTTCGGCTACATACAGTAGCTGAGCCAATCACGGCGAGCGATGTACACAACCTCTGCCAATCCAAGCAGACTTTGTATCCATTAATAGAATACGTTGCTCGCCTTGATTGGCTCAGCGCGGTATACCGTATGCAGCTGAAGTTACCGTACATACAGTATTACCGCACATCCATCCATGATGTTTTAAAATGGTGTTGCCTCAGAAGTGGGGTAGTCTTATATGACGAGTATAGCCCAAAACCTATGTTTTAAGTGGAAAATTAGTTAGGGGGTCGTCTTATACACCCATTCGCTTTATATGCCGGCAAATACGGTATATATATATATAGAATCTATATATCTATATATATAGAGATCTATATA